TTTCATTTGTTATAATTTTTAAAATAAAATTAAAGCTCTAATGGTTACTGGACTACATTGTACATCGTTTAAATGTACATTTTTCTGAAATACTAATAACTTTCTTTTAGTTGAACATACAGTGTCCATGGGGCATTGAAGAATGTATACCGTTACATTTTGGTCCACCACTTATGTCGAATATGAAACTTCACACAGCAAAACGAAGAAAATTTCTTCAAATAATTGTAACAGGACTAACAAGACAACTCTTACAATTGACTGAACCAGAATTAACAACAGTAACATCGATAAATATTAATTTTAAAAGCTTAAATCCAATTGCTGGTCAGAGATTAATAATAGGCAATGGAATAAATGTTTCGTTTATGTGGGAACTTGAAATTGGCAAAGATGAGAAATCTATGATGCCTATAAAGACTGATTTTCATGTCAAATACATACCAATCAACGATGCTGAGGATTCGCATACCAATGATGATCCGTTGCATATTCATACTTTGCAAAGAATGGAAAAAGCATCTAGTGTTTACAAATGCAATTTCGATATCACAGATTATGTGGTAAGACTGTAAATTATATTTTCTGTTTGCACATTAACTGTTAAAAATTAATTAAATGTATTGCAATGGTTTGGGAATTTTATGTACTAATTTTTACTAATAATTTAATTGTTATGAACGTAACATAAAAATGATTTTATAAATATATTTATGGAGCTTACTTTACAAAGTATTTTAAACGAACAAATTATTATTTATAACATCATTTTCCAGACTTTGTTTACAGTGTCTTCAAAAGTTGAACCAACCGGAAATGGAGGTGAATTTTGTCGTGCTGGTAGCATGTGCCATCTTTATCTCACAGTAACACGTATATTACCCAGTCCTACCCCAAATCCTCCACCTCAATTAATGTATGAAGTTCTTGCCGATCAAGCCATGTGGGCTGTATGTGGCCGTACAGCTGGCATTGTGTCGTTGGAAGTCTTAGAAAAACAAAGTGTCACATTGGACGTGATGCCATTAACCAGTGGTTATTTACCCCTTCCTGTTGTTAGATTGTCTCGATATATTCCAGCATCAGAGTCTAAAAATGGTAGGTATATCGATGCTCGTAATAAATATTTTCCTCTATTAAAAAATTTAGTTTGAGGTTTATATACTTATAGTAGTATTGATAATGTTTATTAATTTTTTTTTAAGATATTCGTAAGAGCGAAATAGCTTCTGTTCCAAGATTAGAACCATTCAGTCCTGGACAAGTTTATAATGCTAGCAAAGCGCAACAAGTTCATGTTTTACCAGCAGCACCTTCAGAAGCAAATTAAAACTACACACAATATTACAAACATGTAATACATTCATTGCATTAGAGATGCAAACTGTACCAATGCTGATTATCATCCTTTATATACTATCTGTGGCGTACTTCTTTGATACTGAATATTATTATTCACTATTCAATATTCACTATAGT